TGAGGGATTCAGAGCCTCATAGGTTAGAGCCTTTGCTTGCCTCTCCTATTCTCCTCCCCCTCTCCACCTCAGAGTAGGCCTGGAGTTTTGAGGAGCGTCGTCGCAACCCTACTGTGTGGATCACTGCTAGAGAGGAGGACACTTGACCTCCTTCACCCTCTCCTAAGGATCTGCAAGGAAACAGGGATATATGATCTCCCTAGGTAACACAATCTACTCTATATGCAGTTTTAAGTTTCGCGAATTTTGCGCACCAATCTTCGCACGACGACGAACATCTCTTTGGGAATCGGGGATTTTGTTTTCTTGTTCTTCCGCTGCGCATCTGATGTCGCCCCCAAGATTTTCCAACAATGCTGATATCACTCACCCTTTCTCGTCTATTGCCTCCACCGCATTTGTCCCCTACTCTCACCATGAGGCCTCATAGCCTCTATGCAACAACCTTCCTTGCCTATTACACCGGCCAACTACGCCCCCTTGCCCACTTTTTGTACTCGTCACCTTCTTCCCATGGAGTATAAGAAGGGCAAGCCTACTATCGCTAGTGAAGTTGATGGTGTTGTAGGAAGCAATGATAGAAGTGTTTGATATGGAGGTGGTGAAAGGGATATGGAGCTCGATGGAGGGGCTAGTGCAAGTGTTGAAGTTGGTAATGGGGTGCTGCACACCGTGGAAGGGTGCACGAAGGTGGGTGTGAGAGTGGGGAAGGATGAACGATGTTGACAGGATGAAAGCGACATGTGATCGATTATAAAAATAGGAAATGACATTTATGAGATTATAAAAATAGGAGTACCATATGAAAAAATAAATATAGATACCTTCTGAAAAAAATAAAAAATAAAAACATTTTCAGGTAAATTATACAAAAAATAATCATCAATTCATCAATTCATTAGAATTAAAGATGATTAGTAGACTTGTAACATGTGCCAGTATAGGTAGAAAGGTATTGAAGAGCAAAAAAAGAGTCCTGATTTCTTGATTTTCTCATCTTCTACTCAACTTGAAGGTGCCATCATGTGATGGTGTCTTTTGACATGTGATCCTCTTGAGGAAACATTGCCTCTTTAACTTAGAAAGAAAGAAAGGAACTCCACAAGATATGATTTACTTAGCTATTCTAGTATGAAAGGCTTCTTTTCTAAGAAACATAAATTGGTTTGCAGATTGTAACTGAACAGTGGAAGAGCATCAAACCCCAAGATGATCCATGCATGTGTAATAGCTTTGCAAGTACATATAAAAAAGATTTCAAGGATGCGGACTAGTCAAAATTATTCTGAGTCAATACAAGATGCTGAAGATTTCAGTGCAGCTAGGTATATATATTAAATGACAATGAATCACTTGTGGCACCAAAGAAGTATGTGTCAAGGATTTTAATCCGGACAACTTCATGTCCTCCAGAGAAGTTCCACCGTGTTGGTTTCCCACAAAATTATATATGGTGTCCTCCCCCCACTCCTTCCCCCTTCTCTGAATTATATATGGTTGACATTAATTTATGTAATTGATCATATATAATTATGTCAAGATCTAATTCTTTGTTTAAATGTTTTTAGTATTTTATTAATCATATAAATTACTGTTTGATGATGACGAAGAGATTGCTACATCGATGTGAAAGACGTAAGAAAGAAAGATACACAAAACACACAGTTGGAGAAAAATTGAGAAAAATCTTCATTTCCTTTGGAGAATATCTTTTTATGATTTTTTTATAACATTAAGAACTATTTTTATTTGATAATGTCACAGTGGATGACCTGATTAAGCAGTAACCAAATGTCATTAGACTATTATAAATGCAGATTTGATGTTGCATTTAATCCATATATATTTTGCTTTATGATTGACCATGCTTAATGATGTTTGCCTCCTTCCACCAAGATGATCATTTAAATTAAGAAAATTCAATGAAACATTTAACTATGTTGGAATCCAATGTTTCATTTCAGTCTCACTAAATCTAGGTATGTATGTTTCAGCTAATCTAGCTTGATTTATATGGTCTGAAATCTCACACCATTATTTTGATTTTTCTTTTGAAGAAATATATTGCATTTGATTACTTTCAAAAATCAGTTGATGTTTGGTCATGCTGAAATATGCCTATTAATAATGAGTAAAAAGTTTGACTGTCTTCATCATTAAATTAGTCACATAATTGTCCTGTCTGAACACATTAAATTCCAATTTAACTACAGAACCAATGTGTGCACATGATGTTCATAAAGGAACTTTAAATATTTGATCTCAATTGACTTGGAAACTAATATTAACAATTCCAACTTGGAAATTAAGTTCTGGTTCAAGAGTTGAAATAATGCTATAAAATTTAGTGCATAGTTGAAGCTAATGCTGTCTAACAAATTAGCTAACAATGTGTTTTGTCAAGGCTAATATATGGAAGGATTTCTATGCTATGCGGTTTGCTTGACTCAAGTAGCTGATAGTCGAAGTCAACTACAATGTTGGGATCGTATTCCACATTGTGAGAGGATACACAGCTAGCAAACTATTCTATTGATTACCAAGGCTGCATGTTCTTCTTCATGCAACTCCACCCTCACAAGCTAAACACTCTGTGAGTTGGCAATCATTATATTATCAGAAAGAAGCAAATATTATAACAGACATCATAGAATGGACTACGTGCTTTCCATTGTTTTCTGTCTCTTTCTCTCTTTCTATGTGTGTGTGTATTTCAAGATCTGTACAGTGAGCAAAGTCATACAAACTTTGCTTCTTCTCTTGGTTTGCTTCCTTTCCCTGCAGAAAGACTGGGATTGGTAGTAACTTTGTAGTTGGCACTGATTTTTGGATTGATCAATCATGTTGAGATTATTTTTTCCTTCATAGGAAGAGAAAGAGAGAGAGCGAGCGAGCGAGAGAGAGCGAGAGAGAGAGAGAGAGAGAGATCCTTAAGAACAATCACGTTGACATCATCATGTCTTGAACCAATTCACGCACGTTAAGTTGGATCTACCTTGAGGTTTGACTTTGTAAGAGAGATCTGCACTCCAAGATAGATGGGTGGTCAAGTTGCTTCCATAAAAAAAGAGACCTGACTTCAAGAACACCACCAAATCTTCGGGCCTATATGAGCACATGCATTTGATGAGGAGTTCTACAGGTGCAAAAGCCCTTACAATGGCTGCTTACGGCTCTCCACCGTTCTCACACCTTCTCCTCGCCATCCTCATACCAATCCTTCTTCTCACAGCCACTGCTGATGCCAATGAAGAAAGAAAGGTAAACGATCAACTCAGAAAGACATACGCTAGCTAATCATCTATAGAACACTGACATCTGGTCGAATCAACTGCTCGCTACATATCATGCAGGTATACATTGTGTACATGGGACATCAAACCTCATCCAGTTCGTCGACCGAGGCCGAACATCTAAATCTACTTAAGCAAGTACTCGAGGGCTGGTAATCTTTCTGTCCTTCTATGCTTCCATATATTCATTATGTGAAGAGCTGTTTCAGCAGCAGTAACGTACATCAAACAATGGTGCAGTGCCCCCTGCGATTCCTTGGTCTACAGCTACACGAAGAGCTTTAATGCACTTGCAGCTAAACTCCTGACCAAAGAGATGGAAAAGCTAGCTGGTATACTTCAGATCTCTTTCGATGGTGCCATTAATTGGTCTTGCAACGACAACGAAACTGATTGAAAGAGTGGTATATATTGTCGTAGGAATGAAGGGTGTGGTCTCTGTGTTCCCCAGCAAAATCCTGCACCCCCGCACAACCAGGTCATGGGATTTCTTGGGCTTTCCTGCGACCGTGAATCGTAATCCTCCACTGGAGAGCGATGTTATCGTCGGCATGATCGATACCGGAATCTGGCCGGAATCCGAGTCCTTCAACGATCAAGGACTCGGACCTCCGCCGCGCAAATGGAAGGGTGACTGCATAAACCTCAAGTGCAACAAGTATGGATCTCTCGTCCTCTCTTTCAGAATTAGAGTTTTGCTGTATAGTTTGTATGATGCATGTTGAGAAGAGTTTGTGTTGCATGCACCAGCAAAATCATTGGGGCGAGATACTACAACAGCTTGAACGACACGTCGCAAGAAGAGTCTCCGCGAGATTTCAATGGCCACGGAACGCACACGGCCTCCACCGTCGCCGGGAAGAGCGTACAGGGCGCCAGCCTCTACGGCCTCGCGGGTGGCACGGCCAGGGGCGGCGTGCCGTCGGCCAGGCTCGCCGTTTACAAGGTCTGCTGGTCGTTCGGCTGCGCCGAGCAAGACATCTTGGCAGCCTTCGACGACGCCATCGCCGACGGGGTCGACATCATATCCATCTCCATCGGCTACCCCTCCGCCTTCGACTATTTCCTGGACGCGATGGCCATCGGCTCGTTCCATGCCATGAAGAAGGGAGTCCTCACCTCGGCGTCCGGCGGTAACAGCGGGCCGTACCATGGCACGGTCGGCAACGTCGCTCCATGGATGCTGGTCTCTGCAGCAAGCAGCACCGACAGGCACATAATAGACAAGCTAGTAACCGGAGATCAGAGATGCGTGGTGGTGAGCTACTTCATGCGGGATACATTAGTGCAGAGCTCCATCACAAGCACTTAACCGAGTTCTCGTAATCTTTCTCAGGGGGCTTCGGTCAACACCTTCGCCACCGAGAAAGAGTCTTACCCTTTCGTATATTTTGGAGATGGAAGCTTTCCCCCAGCGTAAGCCAATTATTCACCCTCATGATCTCACTTGGAACTCTACTTAGAACTTGCTCTCGTTACTGTTGCAGAGATTGCACTCAACTGGACGAGAAATTAGTGAAGGGGAAGATAGTTCTGTGTGGATACATCGATGATGGGACAGGAGCTTATCTTGCCGGTGCTAAAGGAGCAGTAATGTTGAACGATGCTTTCCTCGACACTTCCTTCTCTTTTCCTCTTCCAGCCATCGCAATTAGCTACTCTAACGGCGAGAAGCTTATGCAATACATCAACAAGACCAAGTAAGTATTCATGTCAAAAGTCCCATGATGAATGATAGAGCATAAAACAATCACTATACCACATTCGATGTTGGTCAGTAATCCCGTGGCGAACATACACAAAAGCGAAGCAGTGTTCGATCCTAAAGCTCCAGTGGTTGGCTCCTTCTCATCCAGAGGTCCAAATACAATCACAGCTGACATCTTAAAGGTGATTGATTACTTTCTTCCTTGACTTCTTTTTTCTTGAGGGATCGATCATTATTGGCAGAATCGACAATACAAGGGTTGATTTGATTGCCCGCAGCCCGATATAAGTGCCCCAGGCATTGACATTTTAGCCGCCTGGTCAAAGCTCGGCAAAGTGTCAGGCTCCCCTAACGACACACGGTCGGTCGAGTATAACATCATCTCGGGGACTTCCATGGCCTGCCCGCACACCAGCGGTGCCGCCGCGTACGTCAAGTCGTTCCACCCGAGCTGGTCTCCTGCGGCCATCATGTCCGCGCTGATGACGACAGGTAACGTGCATGCCGACAGCGAGCTTGTTGTACTGTGAGCCATTGCAAGCAGGAGGTGATGCATTTGGGTGCCTACGTGTTGCAGCGAAGCCGATGAATCCTTCGCTCCACCCTGATGCGGAATTGGCCTACGGGGCGGGGCAGCTCAACCCGGTGAAGGCGGTCGACCCCGGCCTCGTATTCGATGCCGCCGACACCGACTACGTGCAGATGCTGTGCGACGAGGGTTACAATAAGTCCATGATTAGGATCATCACCGGAGACGACAGATGCTGTTCTTCTCTCGGTCGCAGAACCGCGAGGGATCTGAACTATCCTTCCATGGCCTTGCACGTCGCATCGAATGAATCCTTCGCAGGGAACTTCACGAGATCGGTGACCAACGTCGGCGATGCGTGTTCCATATATAGAGTAAAGATCAAAGCAGATGGGAGGCTGAAAGTGGTGGTGAATCCCAAGACGTTGGTGTTCACAAAACCAGACGAGAAACAAGGATTCGTGGTGAGTGTTTCAGGAGGGCCGATGGCGACGAATTCTACAGCGTCGGCTTCGATCGTATGGTTGGACGGAAAGCACAGCGTGAGGAGCGCGATGGTTGTGTATACAGATTTCACGAGTTAAAGACTGAGGATTCTTGTTGGGTTAAAGATGACGTGAACAGAGCAGCATCAAAACTGGGGTGGAAACATCTGTCTGTTGGGTCTTTTAAGGAGATTAGTTCTTGGCCGGTGTTCTTATTTTATTAATATGCATTTCTTCATTTAAAGAATCTAGCAAGTACGTCCATTTGTGAGTTTCGATCAAATAAATTAAGAAGCTAACAAATCCATGGTTCGGTTGTTTGATTCAATTACCAAATGGAAATATAATTGATGTTTGAGATTTGTAAGTTTTGATCAAATAAATTACGAAGCTAACAAATCCATGGTTCTGTTGTTTGAATCAATTATCGACTGGAAATATAATTTATGTTTGAGAGAGTCTTTTGGATAGACAATGTGATAGTTATCCTTCTTTTTGACATAGTTACAGCTGATCAATATTATCCACCGAATAGAAAACGGATGTTGGCAATGGATGCCAATAGTTTAAGAAAACAAGTGCTCATGTTTATTTCCACCTTATGGCTATGAAAATCAAATATATGCTTCAAATTCTATTAATAAATAAATGAAGGATCATTTCTTTGCCAACACCTCAGTATCTCTTACAAACTCATTCACCTCACCAGTTGATGCATGCTATCTAACAGGCAAGGATACACCCTATCAAGATCTTATCTTAATATATTTAATCTTATATATTTCTAATGACAGTGATGAAATCAGAAGACACATTAGAGTAGATGGAGACCTCTTTCATCTTTGGGTAGACAACCAAAGAAACACCATCATCTTGATCACTGAATTCTTCTACCATACAAGCGAACGATCGAAAACAAACAAACAACACGAGGCTCCTAATCTTAAGAGACGGTCAAGTAGGGAAGTTATCATGACTTGAACCCTGGTTAATCTTGTTGTAAAATGACCCAAAACTCTTACTTATACTAAGAATTGGAAGGTGGCTTTACAAGCAGCTACATACTACTAGAATGACACTTTGTTAAATAAACAAACACCACCCAACCAACTCAAGTTAAAAGAAGAAATTAAAATGCAATTTATGTATGATGTTAAAGCAGAACAGCAATAGATGGTTTTGTTACATGTATACCTTTGAAGTAATGATTGCTTCCACTACAAATCCAAAGCTTCAAGTAGGTGCTTTGGAGCAAAGCAAATGGACGGTTGGAAACTTGTGCAACAAAAAGCTCAGCATACATGAACGAGCCTGCCAAAGAATTTCCAATCTATTGCACATGTACAAGGTGTTACCATCTTGGAACTAAAAATATGGGAAATTATTGATCCTGGTATGATACAAATCCTCACTCATATGACCTGGGAGAGCAGCTTTCTGTCCAAGTTCACATCATGATTGATTATACTTTGATTTGTTCATAACTTTCACTGATGCTGCCACCTTTCTGCTTATGAAACTCAATATATCGCATTGTACTGGAAAAGAAAGCATTATCAGATGGATCTGATGTTGTATTGTCGCTTTGTATCTCAGTCCTGATGTGGTCAATTAGATCATGAATCACAGAACTTGTTATCTGAGGATTTCCTTTCTCCAAGAAGTATAGATACCTAAAAAGATAAAACAGAATGTCATACATCATGTCCAAGTTAATTTCTGAATTAAAGTTGGTATGATATTTTATTTGTTTACTTGTTCAACATTTCAATGAACAGTGTCACATGTCCACTGCTACCCCTTGTTGCGTTCATCTGTTGGGCAGCATTTGCAATTCTCAAGGCACGCTTTAAGCAAAGGAGGACCCTGGAACAAAAAACAGCTCATGAAATAAGATCCCTCAGATTATTATCACAACATTCACTACTTTCTTGAGTAGACATGCTGAGAATCAAAGTCATCTATTAAGAGGCAACAAATTTGTGCATCTCTTAAGAGTACAAGTTGTAAGGCACCACAAATAAGCAAAGGTTTCAGCCTTGGTTGGCTTGATGCTGCCAAACCAAGAAAAAACATATTCAAGAAATTTTGAGATAACTAATGGCTTTGCATTTAAGGTATAATCTGGTTCTAAGATGAACCATATTCTTATTATGACTTTGCAATTTGGATACAATCTGGTTTTGGCAACTCAAAGGTGTAGAACATGACCTATTTGGATGTTAGCATGGGTCAATGGCATAGGGAGATTGACCATTTGGCCTAAAAAGAAAAATCAGCATTAGCAATAACTCATCTACTGTTATCTAACGTCATAACGACACATGACGTGAACTATCTTAAGGGTATCACATCCTGTACAAAACTAAGAATTAAAAGGGGCCAGCAATTGGCACTTCTAAAATGCACAACAGTTTCATGCTATAGTTGGGAAAGACTAAACATGGCAATGAAAAGATACATTTGGGCATGCAGAACAGCATCAGTAAGGCTTCATCAGGAGTGTAGCTAGTGTGGTGTTTCCAAGAGTTTTGGCACAATCCAACTAAGAGAGGTTACCGTCACTTGTGCAGCCCATAGACAAGATTGATTGATAACTACTGTATACAGAAGTGTATATATTACTATGCACCTTTCTCCATCTTTAACACCATCCTGCTCGTTGACCCAGAATAGATGTGAACATGCATAAACTGCTCTGCACTGATCAGGCTTCTTTAGAAGTTTTGCAGAATACTGCAGAATAGCAAAAAAAATTAGTGTAAGTATAATAGCACAATTCATTAAATATTAGCAAAATAATAAATATATTCTGTATGTGTGCACATCTGTACATCTCAAGTATCCTACCCCTGTGGCCTTATGTGTTAATGTATCTCTGTTCTCAATTCCAAATACATTCATACGTTGGAGGGTTCCAATAATCAAGTGTATTGCGGTCACCTGCACTTTCGAGTCCTGCTCAATGGAACACCACCACCAAATCATTTAGCAGGAAAATAAGAGGATTCAAATTACAATATGAACAATATATTGCCATAGAAAAAAATTTAGTATGTCAAATTTCCCATTTTCCCTCTGCACATGGCATAAATTCACTAAATCAAAAATTTTACTTTCAGCAGGAAAGTTCACTTACAGCCATCTCCTCTTCATACAATATAAATGCTTGTGTCAGGAATTCATATGAAACTGGTTCGAGACCACAATCATTGGCAGCCTAAAGCAGAAAGCTAGTTATAGACAAGCAATTGTAAGGAAAAGAAAGAAGTTAGCAGGAAAGAGAATTGACAAACCTCAGCACATTGCAAGTATAATCTTAAAGCAAGTTCTGGTGAAGGAACAGATGACAAGGCCTCAATTGTCTGGAAATAGAAGCATTGAGAATGAACCAAAAATTATAGTACTTAGGAAATCAAAATAATATATATACAAAAAACAGGATAATTGTCGAAGAAGCACTAGCAACCATATCCATGTTGATTATATTCAGCATAACAAGATACCTCACTATGAATAGACTTCAAGGATCAAGAACAACATTATAATAATCCTAAAAAGTTGACTGTATTTCAGTTGGCTTTTTGGACTACATATGCACTAGAGATGGATTTAGCTCCATATATCTAGCCTGGCAAACTTTGTCATGCACTAGAGATGAATTTAGCTTCCTCTATCTGGCCTGTCAAACTTTGTCATGCACAAGAGATAACTATAGCTCCATATATCTAACCTGTCATTTCATCTTATTTGGCTTTTTTACTAAAAAACCTTAGTTATGTAAGTACGAACATATCTTGGGTGAATCTCCACAATAAAAAGCATTTTCATCTTAAACTGTTGTTCGCACCTCTGTTTAGGAAATATCATGTATTTCATATTTACTAGCTCTGAACATGTATGAATATGTTTTAATGACTGCTTATGTTACACTTCTCTTATTTATACCACAGATGTAAAATTGCAAAATTAAGGACAAACATAAATTTGTGCCATTATTTCATTATTTGTTCAATTTAATATATTGAGTGTGAGCATAAATAGTTCACACAGAAGAAAAAATTTATACTTACAGGACTAATATTAAAAATTAATCAACAACTTTTAATTTATTAATCAAACAGTGGAATGCACTGCAAAAACAACCTGATGCAGAAGTTGAAATATTTTCTTTTGTGTTACAGACACCTCTTGTCCATTCACATCTCCATCCTGATTTCGTAAATGTCTAAGCAACTGCAGACCAGAAAGAAAAGGTAAGAGCTTTAGTAGGTCTAACAGCATAATGAATTTTAACAGGAAACATCCATGATATTCTCTGGGTGACACAGATACAATCATGTAAGGATAACTTCTTCATTCGATGGTATAGGCTAATAAAGAAACATGTCAGAAAAATTTACTATCAGATATGCATGCCTGAACCAATCGGGTCCCCATTGGTTTGTTCCGAGCTTCTTGAAGAGGTACTTGAGGTAGTCACAGGTATTTGGCCCAGGTAGTCTCTCTTGGGGGGGCCAAGGTATTTGGCAAACACATATCAGGAAAAGTGTAATTTCTCTAACACTTGTTTTCAAGAAACTTTTGTGCTTACTATAAATTATGGACCAAAAATAACTAAGTTGTCAAGTAATTAAAGAACCAAAATTTCTACAATATTAGAAGAATTTTTATTTGACAGAGTACATGTGACTAAATACACAAACTAACTGCATATCACCAACAGATTTAACCATTTTTTGCATACAGAACATTCAAGACATGAGATAATTTATTGAAGTATGTGTTCCAAGAAAGCTGAGAACAACATCTAGAGGTGAATTTTTATAATCTGATTTAATCTCATACCGGGTAGTCATAACCCCATAGTCCTGAAAGCAGTTAGAGAATGGACTGATCTTCTTTTAAAATGCTTTAGAGGAAAAACCAAGCTGTCCATATGGTCTCTTGAAAATTAGGATGAGAGACATGAAGATAGGCGATCTGGGAGACCACAATAGGCATTGTTACAATGCTCCTTAGTGACCTAGGGTTTAAAAGGAGACGAGAGTTTGAATCACAAATATATTTACAGGTAAGGTTGAGTGCATTGACTCTCCCCAGATTCCATTGGCATGAGCCTTGTGCACCGGACATGACCTTTCCTTTTTTTACACATGAAGATAGACGACAAGAGTGTGATACATTTCCTTCCCAATTTCTAACCTGCATAGCATGTGTATGTATATAGCCAAACAATTTCTAATTTTTACATTGATTGCCTTAACATTTACTGCAATATTAATAAAGGTTGTATTTGTCTTGCTACATTTTGTTCAGCACAGAGAGCTCTGAAAATAAAGGATTGGAACTCAAAATTCACTCAAATGCAAGGTCAATGATTCTCTTTCACTAAAGCCCCATGCTACTAATGTGCTTAGTCTGCTGAGGAGGTACATGCCAGCCAACATGATATGGCACTGGTCCATGCCGACTAGCACAAGCCAAGCACAATTAAGAAAAATTATACCAGCTGGAATGCCTCGTTATGGCCAAATGGTCATCATTGCTGAATGAACCATTTCCACCACTATACATAATATGAAACAATTCTGAGAAGATGTCATTAGCTAGAAGGTAACTCTCTGCATGAGCAAATGACAAATCAAGATGCTACCACTATGTACAACAACAAGGACTCAGGTCAGTACCAATGTGATTTAGAAGACCAGCATTCATGCCCATTAACATGCCAATAGTGCAAAAAATAAAGATTTTATGACAAACAACCACACCTCTATGAACATTATGTTATTCCACTATACAAAGATCTATGAAACTTCAAACATAGAATGAGATGTATAAAAGACAAACCTTAAGGGCAGAAAAGACAAGGGGAGGTACGGTGAAAGCTAGGCGTTTAGGACCTCCAAGAAGAATATGCTTCCTCACAGTACATATAATCTGGAAAGAAAATTCAAATCTGGACATTTATGCATTATGTTACTTCTATAGAAAATTGAGTACCAAGAGAGATACCGCAAGAAAAGGAAAAAATAAACTAATAGCCAGACAATGATTAACTTAACTTGTACAACTTCTCTTAGAAAGCTATTAACCTGATTAACCAGCAAGTTACATATTGTTTGGACTATATATGCATGACCTCTGCCACATAGCATGCACATTTCTGTTGTTAAATTTTTTTTTCTGTCAAACATATATTAAGCTATATAAGATCAGCAACTGGAAGGCACAGAAATAAATTTGAGATGCATCAAAATTAGAAACCAAAAAAGCAGCCTATCTACGTGCAATGCTAAGTCCCACATTGTTTACTTGAACATTTTTTCAGCAAATAGCCATTTGGAATTTCCCACCACAGCCACTAAAAATCTATTATTCCACTTGATGAAATTATAAATTGTTTCAGCATTTAAATAAGATAAGAATGAAAAAAAAATACATTATTGTTTAGCATATAAACTTGGATCATCCATGAAATATTGTCTTGCCACCTAGTTCCCTACTAGAGGAATTAGTTTCTTCTGCATGGAGAAAGCAATGAGTGTGCATATTACTTGGTTTTACCAAGCAAATATTCCATATACTGACATCAAAAGCAAACCTATCACTACATGAGATTATGGGCAAACAATTACAGCTTTTACTCAGAGATTATCTACAAACCACAGGCAAAAAGAGCAGAAATTTAATCTATGAAGAATAAAAAATTTGTTTCAGGATTGTGATTTTTGTTTTAAAAATTAGAATAAATTTTTATTACATTAAATAGTGTATATAATGTTCACACATGGACTCGGACCTGAAACCTAACACTGGTGCAATAAGCACTAACCAATCAGGTTTCTCAACAGACTTAGCATGATTATGATTTAATCGATCTGGCCATCTTACAATCTATAAGATCAATTGATTTAAAAAATAGCTCCACACATACATGAGAACTAAATCAGATATAAGTATAAAACTTAAATCTTAATATCCAATAATTTCATCTGAATATGCAATTTTATAAGCAAAAAAAAGCTCCACATCATACACGAGAAGCAGAAAATTACAAAATTGTTTCAAGTAAAAAACTTCAAAGAATTTTCCCCACTTAAATGGTCCTCATAAACTTCAAACCACCACTATGCTTGATATCCAGTTGGTTCAAGTCACAAAAGCAACCTTTTCACCTTTCAGAGGTTGGGATGCATATGTTGACCCTCTTTGAAACCTAAACTGGAGGAAGTCTCATGCATTGTGCTGCAACAGTTCCCTCACGTAAGCCCCTTTTTTTCAGGTAAATGTACAAAATCCTCTCTCTTAAAAATCAGAGAGACCATGTAAGGGACATGGAAATTAATGGTCTATGTTGGCCAGCTGTTGGTAGGGTAGAATAATGAATATAAATTTTTTAAAAGATTACATCAGGTCATAGATGAAGGCATGTTCATAGATCTTGATGTAATAAGTAAGCAAGAATATGCATCTGCAAATAATTCTTACTAAATTTAGCCACCTTAAACATCTCCTCAGCATCATCAGTACACAGCATGTGAATGAGACGAGCGACAGAGTTCTGTTCCTCCTTAAAATCCTCTTCATCAAGCTATTAGCAGAAAAGATTGTCAATTTTCACTCTTTAACAAGGTAATCTGAGATAAAACGCTACATGGACAAGAAGAAGAGGAATGGGTGTTTGAAATTTCTTGCATGCTATACTCCTGATGTCAACCAAAAAGACCCAAATCTCACCTCATCATCTTGAGCCTCATCTGTCTCCTTTACAAGCCCTTTTATTAATTCAAATAGAGTGTCAACCTAGAAAAGAAATAGATATTATGACTTCAAAAAATCATTTCAATGTAGAATAAACATGAGAACAGAATCCTACTTTATCAGCTGTAGAGATGCAGGTGTTGTTCTTCATTATGTTCTGAATGATTATAGCTGACATGACTTTATTTGTTGCATTATCTAGATGATCCATGACCCGGGGATAGTTAGGAAGATTTAATGCAGTAGAAATATCCTTATACTTCTCCAGTGGAGCACTTAAGAGTGCAATAATCTGCTTAGTTGCTTTGCTGTCCTCAAGTTTTGTTTTCCCGGAGAGTCTCTGTACACATGCTCCCTGTGAAATAAGCATGAAATGCATCACCAGTCTTATATAAACAGCATGCAAAGTCACACCAAAATTAATATATGACTTGTTTGCCAAGTAACAAGCAAACTGAAGTCACTCCAAGAACTAGCATGCAACTGAAGCCACTCAAAGATTACTTTATCACTTGTTTGCCAAATTAACATGCGGCAGAAGTCGCTTCAAACTTTATTAATTTACAAAACAATATAGAAACTCAGCTGCTCAATAATAGTTTTGTGGACTTAAGGACCATTATATTCTTCACATTATCAATAAGACAGAACGTAACGAGGTAATTACATACAAAAAAGAACATATGATCAACACATTGCAAACTCATTTCTCATATTCTAAAGATATCAATCACTCATAAGACCTCAAATCAAAACTTCAGCTGAAATCGATAAGACAAGACATACCAGTATTTGATCCGTGTAATCAAGTCGATCAGGATGGATACGGAGAGTAAATGTAAGAAGTGACACATATAAAGTAATTACTCCAGAAATAGGCATATCAACCTGTGCTTCTATCACCTGAGAAGATAACAAAAAGGGATCAAAGTCTAAAAAATCTTTACAAAACACAAAGTTTGGGAACAAACTCTACAGATTATCAAGTCCAATGGCATAAAAATAATAGTAAAAGAGTACATCAAGTTTAGACATCTTTCAGTGACAAACATGGTGGATGTATATCATACTCTGAAACAGAATGGGCATAACCTGTAAGACTTGTGTTAGAACAGAATAATCAAGGACTTCAAAAACCTCCCTGTCTTGATAATATATATTTAACATAACAGTACAACTAATAGCAGTATGTACAGTATATACATTATATGATCACGAGACAATTTTACTTCTTAAAGCATGCCCCACCTGCCTGGTAAGTGCATGTAAAATATTGATGGACATGCTGCCAAAGAAGAACAATTTTAATATTTAGATTTACATCAGACATACTGAACTCAGTTCGAAATAATACAATGAAACAGATGAGAAATAATATAATGAAACAGATGCCAATAAGAAGTTCATCCACACCATTCATAAAAGACTTATAACGTTCAAATAATGTATAGATTCAAAAACTAATTGATGGATATTTACATAAAGAAAGCAGTGATAACTTACAGGTACTCTTTAACTTATAGGTACTAGCAAAGGCAGCATTACATTGCTTAAGAATTCACGTATATTAATTAAAATTTACCTCTCCAACAGCACTGTTCAATTTGGCAAAAGCTTCAGCTTGCAAGAATTCAGGTAGCACCTACAACTTACATAATGAGAAAAAATAACACCAAATGTTTGTAATAGTAGCAGTAAGTTGAAAACTCACTTCTGTACTTGACACAGCATAATTGGATAGTCTGTCCATAAGTAAGGAGAGCACCGTTTTAATATCAACAGTTGGCTGCATAAAAATTTGAGACATCAGACCAGTAAGTCTTAAAGAGATTAATTGTAAGAGGAAACAAAGAATGGTCATAAATCATCTAATTTGTCTAGAAATGATGCCAACAGAAATCTCAAAAAAAGTTCATAAACCACATCATGTAGAGATCTTCATTTATACAAAAATAAGGCCCCATAATCTTTCCACTTTGGCAAAGTCACTTATTACAACTGTCATAAAATAATTGCTTAGCTGATTTAATCTCATTATGAATATCTTTATTTGCTGAAATCTAGGTTTTCCTTAAAACGACTTATCATTTTAGTTGCTAATCAACTTTCGTCCTAGTTTTATTTCCTGTTTTCAAGTTTTCACATTTCAAGATGATGGCATAGTAGGACTCTGCCAACTTGTGATATTATCAATTGGAAAGCATAAATTATTAATTATAGCAAGTTGTTACATAAATATTCTATAATCTTTTCTTATTTGGAAATTTCTCTCTTCTCAAACATTCAAATGTCCAACCTCCCTTATCCTTAATATCTAGTACAACAAAGTACTAACAAGACTAGTTGCATTTTTCATAAAAATATAGTTGTGTTATGCTATCATACCAAATTCTCCTGATTCATAAAGCACATTTTTTCTCTCATCTTCAGTCCAGAGGATCCTAATACCCCATCAGCTTGGACAGTGGGCGACAAACTAAACGCCCTCATTGACTAAAAGAATTGCTATCACATACATCAATCTTCCAATACTCGATAAACTTTAGTATGAAGTTCCATTCAAGAAGAACTAATAGTTGGGGATTCATTTACAGAGTTCTGATCCAATAATTCCAAAAGTTGCTTTCAAGTCCTTCTTCCTACATATACAAATGCATTGAACATGTCTATATGTAATGTGGCCTATCACTATGCAGCTTATAAATAGCGCTTAAGTTTAAAACTAAAAATTTTGAAAATCTTTGCACTTTTTGTGTGGTTTAAAGTGTTCGTCTGAAATGTCACCTGACCAATATGCAAGAAGAAGACTTAGATGGCCTGAAGCAGGGCTTCTTCATGCAGGGTTTCTAAAGGATCTTAAACTAGGAGAAGCCTAGATAAACATAAGACTAAACTTCTTGAGAACTTTTAATCATGAACAATGATACACCAAATATAAATAGAAGAGGAAAATGCCCTGAAGGTTAATCGGGTAGTTCAGCAACAGTATGCCAAAGAGATAAATGATGATAGTAGAATTGTCACCCAATTGGATTAGGTTCAATGCACCTAGGAAGCATTTCCATTCTGGTAAACAATTCACAGAATTCAACAACAAAACAGCACCTGATCTGGTATATCTATACTTAGTTATGAAATAATGTTAAATGGATGTTAATAACTGGTCAGTTATAATATTTCGGGCTTCAAATCTCAATAACTAAAACCAAAAACTTTACAACACCACCAAGAGCTCAAACCTTTTATAAACCATTTCAAACAAATAGAATTAAAATTCTAGACATATTAAAGTTCCAAAAAAGTCCAACAAAAAGGACATACTGGAGCATTTTCCAGGAGCAGATTTTGAGTCATAAAACAAATTTATGAAATTCTCCTCAAAGTTCAATTGGTATACCCTCTGCTACCAAATTCAGCTGAGCCTGAGAATATTTAGTATATAAAATAGAACCAGAAAAACACAGAAGCTCCACTTCTTTCTCATAAATATAAAATTGGCTGCTAAAAATGAATCACATTGATTCAAGATGTTCTAGATGGAAGAGAATACTTTAATAAATCAAATATGGAATATTTTCATGTCAGCCAAATAACAAAAGAGATGAACCTTTCAAAAGAAAATAAGGAAGCTTTATGGACATTATTTTACCTACCTGAAGTTGGGGAAATGCACTTAATAATGTTTCAAGAGTCTGTAAATGGTACTCATCTGGAAAGACTTGAATTATACAATCCATCAAGTAATGCTGAGCTAGCTCATCTTTACAATTCACAACCTTCCAAACCAACTCTTTAATCAGAAAATTTGAGAAGTTATTCAATATAATTAGAACTTGTCAATATAGTAGTAATTTTAACCTGTTCCAATATCCTGGGAAGAACAGTCTCTTTGTACATATCAAGATCAACACCCTCGAGCTGGCTAAGAACATGAAGGTTTTTTCCAACCTAGAAAGAAAAAGCAAAGGGAAAGAGTATCATAAATGACCAAACGGAAGAGTTACTATTGTTTTTGAGAGAACTTGATAATGATATTACAAGATCACGGAGTTCGCTCCTTTCTTTTCCCCTCTTCGCTTTCTCCCCTGTGGGTCCCTGCAGACCATAAAGTGCGATTCCTAGTCTCAACTCAGGATCACCTAACAGTATGAATAATTCACAATCACTAAAATACCTGTGTGACTACGATTACCAATGTGGTATGGAATGACATACATGTGCCTAGGTACCTTATGCTCAAAAACACAATATAACCTCAATGCAACGAACCTGATACTGCATTCTGACCCAGAGTTTATTCATCTCCGTAAAGTTTTGGAGCACAAACTCAATAGCATCATTATCAGTGTTGGCACCCCTAAAATATGGTAATAAAAGAGAGAAAAAAATAAGCTCCAGGAGATAACATGAGCAATAAGAATCACCGTTCAGAAATTTTCACTACTTACTAGTTTGTGACATAAAAAATAGATATGTTAAAAATGCAGAATATAGATGAAAAATGTACAGATTGTAGCTTGTTCTACCAACATCCCTGGACTTCCATTCTAAAGCAAGCGCTGAGGCAATAACTTAAAAGGTTCGTGCAACACAGTACAACAACAACAAAATCATAAAGTCCCAATTATTTGGGGTCAGCTACATGGATCATGCAGCACAGTATCTTCTGTTATTTAGCAGATAACCATATGAGGAACAACACCAAATTTCTTTTCCAAGTCATAATATAGATATTTGACATGCATTTCAATATGCTATCATATTCTTACATAATATATAGTTGAGGAACAACACCAAATTGCATATATAGACCAATATTTTTACATATATATCTTTCATTAAGTGTATGCCTTCCTACAGTTGATATTTGTATCAATACTCTGCATTCTGCAATACAGTTTACATCAGCATGAACCCCCATCGCTAAAACTTTTTTTCCAGTACCATTTATTACAAAAGAATAGTGTTTCAAACTGAGGTTTACGTTGCCACATATGTGTTGCAAAAATATAACCACCTCATATAAGGCATGTAGCCTCCATATATGGCATTTTTGTGTATTTATATATGCAATCTGCAAAAGTGATATGGCAGTCACATATTTAGTTTATGTAACCTCCTTATCTGGGCAGCCTATTAGTAAGACAATTTGGTCGAATTTATCAGATTGTGCCATTCATCACTTTTGACCTTTACTTATTCCATATAACTTAATCACTTATACAGGTTCAAAATGAGTACAAGTTTCATCCCATAAATTTTTAATATGGCCTCAGCATATGTTTTCCTATTAATAATCTAAATTTGATTGTATATTTTAGATACACTTAATAATATTTTGCACAGTTTGCTGGACTGTAATTTAGTGATGTGAGTGTCCATATAATGCGTGTGTTATCCGATGCGCTGCCACCTGCAAACCACAGTCACTACTTGGAACAGCCAAAATTAAATAGTTTAACCTATGTCTACCACTCGAATTGGAATTATCTGTATATATATACACCATTTTTTGAATCAATCAATAATTCTTTTTGGCTTATATGCATAGACATCCCTTATAGTAGGTATGTTTACACCAATGTCCTATAAACCATGGTTCGCTTTACCAGTCCATACCAGTGTACTAATTGACTGTCGGTACGATATGCACCAACATACTGACACATGATACGATGGCATGTACCGACAGGCCAGTATGTACTGCCCATACTGATCGCCTAATAGATTGATAATGTCTTGCCCGTACTAGGCGGTACACCATGATACGACGAACCGAGCTATAAACTATATCTTATTCACACGTATAGGCCCCCCCATTTAACCTTCTGTGAGTCAAGGACAAAATACTTGAATTACACTCAATGAGTACAATCTTGATTTTCTATATAATCCAATAGTGTATTTGTGCACATACTCATCTAAACTTGATCTTAGTGCTAATGCCCTCAAAAGATTCTATATGTGTATAAATTCCCTTTACCCAACTTTTTCTCATAGAATTTTGCATGTTCACTATATATCCCTCAAAACATGTACATTTGCAATATAGCCCTCGATATTTCAAAAATGATTAATGTTCTCTTGTGCACTTATCATTGTTTTCATAAGGCGCTCACCTAGGCACTTAGGCGAAGCGAGATGAGACCTGAGCGCCTCACAAAACCTCCAGGCGAGATGTTTCGATGAAGCATTGCTCAGGCACTCACCTGTGCTAGGCATCAGGCACCTCGATCAAGCACCCAAGTGAAGTGGGGTTAGGGTTCAAGCTTGGTTCAATTAAAGGAGCAAGTTGGTTCAATCGAATTAACTAATGTACCCTAAACCCACCCCCCCACCCCGTGCTCGACCCAATGAGACAAACCTGAAATGAAACCCTACGTTCACCGCTAGAGCTTCATCTGTCACCGCTAAGGTTCTAAATTTCGAATGATACTACCTGTACCAAGCGATACATACCGGTCCGGTACCAACGGTACGCAGACTGCTTGCTACCAGGCAGAACGCTTGATATAGCTCCTATTTCTAACGGCCTATAAAAGTGTTCTAACGGCCAACCTTTCTCATGGGTTTTTAAACCTATCATCCCTCCTATTTCACTCTATTTCACTCTCACACTCTATTAAACTATCTCAAACTCATTTTTTCTTATATTCTCTTTCTTATTCTCACACTTACACTCACCAAAACTCTACAAAGCAACGATTTGTGAATTGAATTGAGGGTAATTTAGGAGGATTAAGTGGAAGAACTTTTTAATCAAGAGATATGATTAGTATGTTTAATATTGATTAATTCGAAATTAGATAGGTCAAATGTTTATATTTCATACATATTAAATATTAGAAGATATTTATGATGGTAAAATATGTTTAATTAGGTTTTATTAAAGTTATTTAATGCTACGATTAGTGATTTTAACGATGATTTAATCAAAATTTGATCAATTTTAGATCAATTCAATGTCTTTAATACCTACAAAGGTATTTAACATGTTTATAGTGTTAAAGAGAAGTAATTAATAGGTAATTAATTATGTTAATTGTGTGATTAGTGTATTTAATGATGATTTCATCATTATTATGATGTATATTGGATCAAATTTACGTATTTAATGTTTCTTTTATATGTTTCACATATTTATAATGGTAAAATAGATTTAATTAAGTTTTATTAAAGTTATTTAATACTATGATTAGTGATTTTAATGATGACTTAATCAAAATTTGATCGATTTTAGATCAATTCAATGTCTTTAATACCTATTAGTGTGTTTGACATGTTTATAGTGTGAAAGAGAAGTAATTAATAGGTAATTAACTATGTTAATCGTGTGATTAGTGTATTTAATGATGATTCATCATAATTTGATGTATATTGGATTAAAATTATGTATTTAATGTTTCTTTTATATGTTTCACATATTTATGATGATAAAATATGTTTAATTAAGTTTTATTAAAGTTATTTAATGCTGTGATTAATGATTTTAATGATGATTTAATATCTATTTTAGGTCAATTCAATGTCTTTAATACCTATTAGGGTGTTTAACATGTTTATAGTGTTAAAAGAGAAGTAATTAATGGATAATTAACTATGTTAATCGTGTGATTAGTGTATTTAATGATGATTTCATCATAATTTGATGTATATTGGATCAAAATTACGTTTTTTTTTTTATGTGTTTCATATATTTATAATGGTAAAATAGGATTAATTATGCTTTAATAAAATTATTTAAAGCTGTGATTAGTGGTTTTTTATCAATATTAGGTCAATTCAATATGTTTATAGCTTATTTGATTTAAATTTGATAAGATTATGGCACCAAAGGAACAGACACATGATGATGCATGGGTTCATGCCCGAAAGATAGATGGAAACTATCATCATTGGCAATGTATTTATAGTGGCTACATTGGCAAGGGTGAAAGAATAACTCGGGTGAAGATGTATTTGGCCGACGAGTATCCCGATGTTGCAAAATGCAAGAAGATTCCAATGAAAATCCGTAAATTATTTCAAAGCAAGCTATAACAAGCAAAGGAAGATACATTAAAAAAGAAGACAAGAGTTGAGGAAGAATACTATAGGGCTACGCAGGAACCAGTTTATGATCAGTACGAGGGTCACGGCAATAAAGTCAACCCGAATCTCACAATTAGGGTTTGTGCATCATTAAAGCATTAGTATATGGTCAATGAAGCAATAAGGCATCGACGACCTAAATATATATTTATTTCTAACTTAAAAACCCTATCCTAATTTTTTTTTTCTACTTTTCAAGTATTTTCGAAGGATTTTAGCCTAAATTAGGTGTATCGCTCGGTATGTCCTGATGTACCATTTGGTACGTCATACCATACTGAGCAAAGCTCGATAAACCGATATGGTATGAAATTTCAATCCTTGGTCACCGTCGCCTTCATCCGCAGTTTCAACCATCACCGTCGCCTTTGTCCGCAACTTCGTCCGGCGTCACCTTCATCTACAGCTTTGCCTGCAACTTCAATCCTTGGTCACCGTCGCCTTCATCCGCAGTTTCAACCATCACCGCCGCCTTTGTCTGCAACTTCGTCCGGCGTCACCTTCATCTACAGCTTTGCCTGCAACTTCATCCACTGCCCTCTCCTTCCCCCACCTTCCTCCACAACCACTAGTTACTCGTCTCCTTAGTACCCTCTTTAGAATTGTTTAACATTGATTAGAACTATTTAGAACCATATTGATCCACTATTTAGAACTCTTCAATTGGTTAGAACAGTTTAGTACCATATTAATCCACTCTTTAGAACTGTTTAGCACTAGTTATAAATAGTTTAGCATAGGTCTCTTAAGCATAAACCAAATTGTGTTATTTTTTATTTTTATGATCATATTTATCAATCGTAATATATATTTTTAAATTTTAATATTCTGGAGAGCGCCTTGGGCGTTTGGGACTTTGGCACCTAGCACTTTTAAAAGCACTAGTACTTACATGTTCCCAATATATGCATACGCACATGCAAATATTATATGCTACTACATTACTATGTTTTAACTTATTACATTGTCTTCTCAACATTTAGTAAACATATGCAATGCAAAGAGAAACGTATTACATCCATCTACTTAGAAGTTGATCAATGTCTGCCTTTTTATCATATTAATTATTTACAATTATAAAATATAAGAAAAGATCAATAAGCCAAGAACTGGTATCAAAATGCAGTAAATAAACTTATTACATGTGATTTTGTATTTCCAAATGTATTGGGTTTGCAGAGTTTGCAGGATACATTTGCTGCCATTAAAACTCGTAGCAAAACAAATTTGATGGACTAAATCCATAGCTAATGTTAGTTAATTTATGGCAACAAAAGAAATATGACTTATAAAGGCAACCATACTGGTTAAAAAAATAATCAAATCTGCATGTCTTTGTGTTAGATATCCATACAAAGACAACATGAATAAAGATGAAAGCAGAAAAAAAGAATTGGCATGATGAGGCAAAAGAGCCCAATGGGAACCATAAAATGCAATCAGACATTCTTCATACCCTTCAAATTCTGAACCAATATCAGGCAACTTATCTCTGCTGATTTGAGAAAGATAACTTCTTAAAAAAAGCCCACGAACAGGATGCTGAATACCACGGCACATTTCTACAAGGTCTTTAAGAACATCCTTGGTGGGAGCCTCCTTTGATTTGATGTAAACAGATCCTACTGTGCAGAGGAGATACCTGATAAATAAACAATTTAAACTTTATATACAAAAAGAACATGGATGGGAGAAACTCACAAAGATAAACATATTTATTTACATATAAAATGGAGGAAAGAGGAAACAACAGATACTGATTATAATTAATGGCTAAGAAACGGAAAATGAAAAAGCATGAGACATATTTTAGTTCAACTATTATATTAGCAAGTAGCGAACCACGTGGAGAAACTATGGAACTTCAATCGACCTAAGTCATCCATCGATGATGGTTCAAATAGATTGGAACACACATGTTAAATATTCAAAATTATCAGTTAATATTATTGCTTATGACAGCCTCAAGATTATGCAAAAACCTGCTTTTTGATAAATGCCTGGACCAAGGATTTTCAATATCTTTCTATAATGACATGATATGTGTTGATGGGTACATCCCTGCGTCGGTTGGCATAGACCAAAGATTGGCCTAGTCATACATCAACACCTCCAATACATGTGGGCATAATGCTTGTTGTTGACTTTCTATCACAGAACATCCTAGCCAATGATTTAAAAAGCGCTAGGCGCTCGCCCGAGTGAAGCGAGGTGCTCGCCCGAGCGAAGCGAGGCGCTAAAATATAAAAATATATAATATAATTAATAATATAATTATTTAAATAAAAATATGCTATTAAATTAAGAAAATTAGGTACAAAATCACAATAAATAAATAAATTATAATAGTATTTTTTTATTTTTTAAATAAAAAAATATTATTAAATAAATAAAAATTAATAGTATTAAAATCAAAATAATATATAAGTAAATCTAATAAATAAAAATACTATTATTAGTATACAATTAATAGTATACTGTTAATATACTGTTGACAGTATAGTGAGAAGAGTGTGAGAAGACCAAGGTTGCTAACGGCAACGGTAGCAAGCGATAGCCGTAGCAAGAGCGGGAGCGGCGAACGACAACGAGAGTGGGAGCGGAAGCGGGAGCTGCGAGCTGCAGCGGCAGCAGCAACAACAACGGCGAGCGACGACAGCAGTGACGAGCAGCGATTGTGGCAGCGGCAAGTAGTCGGCGAGCAACGATTGTGGCAGCGACGAGCAGCGACAGTGGCAACGGCAGCAGAGAGCAGCGACAGCGGAGAAGAAATCTCGACGGTAAAATCGCGAGTGTTAGGGTTGGGGAAGTCGGGGAAATCGCGAAAGGAAACATGATATCGGTGATTTAGTTGGTTCGATTGAACCAACTAAGGCACCGGAGACCAACCAGACCTAAAAATCTAGTTCGGTCGCCTGGTTTAACCTAAGCACTTGCCCGAAGCGCCCGACGCCTGGGCTCGGCCGAGCACCTAAGCGATGCCTCTTTGAAGTGAGGCGCCTGGACAAGAAAGCGAGGCGCTCGGGCCTCGCCTTGCCTCGCCTCGCCCGAGCGCCTATTGAAATCACTGATCCTAGCCCATGTGAATGTGCTAACCAGCATGGCAGTCTATGCTCTAGATAAAATTACATCAAAGACTCATGACAAGAAGAATACCATAGGGCTTATCAATAGGTTCTTTATATTCATACTTGATATGCCATGTGTCATACTGTCACGGACTTAGCTGGTTTTGCCTAAGTCGTGCAGCACCCTTACGTGTCCGTCCGCAAAGGTCAACCTCCCCGAAACCTCCCATGGTCCCTTAGGACTCACAAAAGAGAAAACGGGTTAGAGAAAGCGCCTTACTCGGGAGCCACAAGCAAAAAATCTAGGAAACACTTCATAGACAATGCAAATTACAAACAGACTTTACAAGCTCTGTACGGTTATACAACAAAGGGTCAAAATGGTCCACTACAGACCGAATATCTCTCACAAGTGTCCACATGACACAATATTTATTTACAAGCCTAAGAAGGCCACCAAACCCAACTAAAATAGGGTTGTTAAGCCTTCAACCGTTCCTCTACATGTTGTGCAAAGCATGAACAAACAGAAAGACACGGACATACACAAATATTACATCAAACATCCTGTTTAGAACTTTGTCCGTGACATTCTCCCCCACTTATTCCTTCGACGTTCTCGTCGAAGCCTTTGCCGACACTACAACTCCTCGCCTTTGCAGAGTCTTCAATCTTCTGCTCCAGCTACAATGCGCCTCTTGGCTCCCAGTTGCTCTCCGCTGCTGTTTTTGAGTAGTCGAACCTTTGATCTGCCATGCTGCTTCAACTCGCCAATGACTCTGACTCTAGTGTGGGGTTGGCTGAGTTGTGTTGATCACTGTTGGTTCCTGCGGATCCTCCAGATGAAGGAAAAGACTATCCTTACTATGCGCCAGTCTCTCAAATGCCTCATGTTGCTGCAACTCCTCGCCTGTGCAGTGTCTTCAATCTTTTGCTCCAGCTGCAATACGCCTCTTGGCTCCCAGTTGCTCTCCGCTACTGTTTTTGAGTAGTCGAACCTTTGATCCGCCATACTGCTTCAACTCGCCAATGACTCTGACTCTAGTGTGTGGTTGGCTGAGTTGTGTTGATCACTATTGGTTCATGCGAATCCTCCAGATGAAGGAAAAGACTATCCTTACTATGCGCCAGTCTCTCAAATGCCTCATATTGCTTGAACTGAGTGGATGCTTGTTGGAGCTTTAACGAGCATCGCCTCGCAAACTTCTGAGGTTTTGGGTCCTTCCTCCACAAAATTTGCTCATCGACTCTTCTTTCACTTAGTTGTCACTTCCAAGTAGATTTACATTACTTCCGCTTTCGATTGGTATTCTGTTGGGAAATGAAACGGATAATCTACTCTCAGTAGCACTGATCACCATTGGTGAGGATCTGACAATTATTGTCTTCTAATATCTTCGAAGGGTCTTTGAACCTGTGCAAAGCTCCTCTGCTGGATAGATAAGAGAATTGGGGCACTCGGTTTCGCCCATTCTCTTAAGGGTTGAGATGGCAATGGTTACTTGACTTCGCCCGCCTACTCAAAGGTTGTACTCCATACATCGAGCTGGTTACTGGCCTTCGCCTGCTCTTTGCTCACACTTCTGAAGCATTCGTAGTGTTTGCACTCCTTGCATTGAGATGGCTACTGTGATTCACCTTCTCAATGTCATTGAACTTCTGGAATACAGGAAGTTTTCACCCCAACTTGAAGTCTCTAATAGTTTTAATCGCCTCTGGGATTGTATCATCTTCTCCATCAACCCGGCCGCCTACTCCACTGAGTAGCCAAGGTACAGCACCGCGTACTGCCTGCTTCGTTCCTTGGTCGTGCATTCTTGCATGACCCGAAGTCCTTCACATTCGGCTATCTTGATGAGAAGCTCGTTGACACCGGTCTTACGAAGTTCCTTGGCCTCTACCCTTCAACCTTGTCTCAGTACTTGAAGTTTGCCTTTGCATGCTCCACCTCCTCGGCCCCTTTCACGACCAAGCGCTCTCCCTCCATGAGAGCAAGGGATCAATAACTTTCACGGAAGTCCCGCCTCTATGATACCATGGCGTTGCCATGCCCATGGCCCTACTATCCGTCGCCTTGCATCTACATCCCTTTTCTTCACGATCAATAGATGTCTCTATGGCACTCCTCCGAGTCCACCTCCATTCTAACTGATGCTTGATTTTGGGTAGCTAAGTCCCTCTGGACTCGTCGTCGCTTCCTCGCCCCTTTCGAACCCCTGCTTCAACATATATGTGTTCTCCAAGCAGATCCCTTTAGTCGATGGAAAGACAGACTGCAACTCCCATGCATGGTCTCTGTCATCACGTTGTAGGGTTTGCATCGATTCTACTCTCCTTAGCTTCCTTGATAGCAACGTTCGCTTACTCGACCTTGTCCTCTGACTTACCGGGCTCCCTTAAGCGAATATGGGCTCTGGCGCAGTCCAACTCTCCAGCTGCTTTGATCATACCTCTGCATGATCAAGTCCCTCCCATAGGACTCACTGGTACTTGCATTCGAACTTTGCCCTCGGTGGAACACAGCCCCCATATGCTGATAACCAAGGCTTTCATTTGATACAAGATTCGATGCACGCACGGAAGACCCGCCTCTGCGGTACTATGGCCTTCACTCCTTAAATCCATAGCCCTTCTTGCCATCGTATTGTTCACCGAAGTGGAGCTTCCAGTAGCTCCTGATCATACCTCCGTATGATATAGTCCCTCACGGAACTATGTTTTGTGTATCGCATTGCCACGAATTGTTCCACCACGATCGGCTGCACCATGTCGCCTCCTGGTGACATCTTTATTGTATTCTGATCCTTGTGGGAAAACTCGAATTGTGATCCCTCCATGTGTGGTCTTTGCTAATACATCGCAGAGTCTCTTCCACCTTCGATTTTGTTCGCTCCTTTGGCAATCGACCTTCATCCACCCACTCTTAGGTCACACCTAGATGAAGCACCGCTCTAGGACAGTCCGTCGCCTAGTAGCTCCCGAAGTCCACCGACTTCGTTGCAATTAGTGCATCATTATCTGGATCTTGGGCCTCTGCCCCTACTAGCACAATTTCCGCTGTGCATCGATTCCTTTATGGCAACTTGAATGGCAACACTGTGGCATATTCTTCAAGAGTACCCACCTCCGCATCCTCTTGCCCCGTGCCAAGACCTTCTGAACCCAACTTCGCCTCCGCAAGTTGAGTCACCTTAGTTCCTCCGTCAAATGCTTCTCCGAGATAAGATGCATGTGCCTAAAAGCTCCCTTCGTCTTTGGCACCATGCAAGATGAGTCCGCTCCGTCAGAATGAAAGACCCATGGAACAACATGATCCTGCTCTTACCTCTGCAAGAGTTTATGTCCTTGACATATGTCCAGGGAAAGCTCTGTGCCTCCGCTCCATGCTCCATCTTCTATGCTGGCTCCCTCCATGCGGCTTGGGTACTTCGCCAAGTTTCACCCAAGTTGCTCCGCTCCTCGTTTTACATTGAGTTGATGGTGGCCCTCGCGCCCACCATTCCACGAGTCAGCCCTCCCTTGAGTCTGATCTCCATATCGACTCCAAGTGTGCCTTCATTCGTGTTGCTTTGGGTCGCTCCCCCATTTGATCTCGCAATGCATCCACCAATGCATTCTCTCAAGCGAGATCATGCGATGACTCCTCGCCGCTCGCTCGATCCATTGAGCTTCGTGGAGTTATTGTTTTTGAGGTACTCCTCAACATGTGCGGTCTGTTGCACATAATTCTCCCTCTAGAAAACCGAGTCCTATCCCTCCTGGATATCTGTCCCGTTGGAGCAACATCTCTCTTCGCTTCTTTTTCTCTGAAAGTTTCGGAGACCACCATCCCCTTGGACTACTCTGATTCGTTGAACAAACTATGCATTGTTCTACCTCCTACAAACGCACTTGCTAGATTACGACTCCACGTCAATACAACCCCTGCTGCACCACTCAAGGCCTAGCAACATGCCGAACTCGGTGCACACTTCAGCCTCCTATGGACGTATCCTGCACATGCCGAAGAGAAAGTTTCAATGCTCCATGGTGCCGAGTTTCAGTCGCCTTGGGATGGCCGCGAACATTCCATCGTCCACATACAAGCCCATGCATGAGTACTGAATTCTTCGAGTTAGCAATTCCCCTCACCTCTATGAGCTTTGCACAACTCTTTCGGTCGCTAAGCAACTCCTTCCACCTTGCATAGTCTCATCCTTTACCAAGCGCCTCACTTGCTTTGAGCACCATCAAGTATGGTTGTCAATATTGAGCTGTAGCTCAAACTCAGCCATCCCAACCTTTGTGCGCTCCGCATTCTTCCCAGCTTGCTTGTCCTCGTGGTGCCTCTTGCACGAAGGGTTGGCAATTCCTCTGAATGCCACTCTCAGATGCCTGCTCCTCTTAGCGACTCATTTTCCCTACATCTCCAAGCCTGTTTTCCCCCAAACGATCGCACGTGCTAGCTGCCCTCAACGCAGCCCCGCTAGGTCCCCCACGTTTGCATACCAAATGTTTCTACGAGTGCTTATCCCGCTCTGATACCATCTGTCACGGACTTAGCTAGTTTTGCCTAAGTCATGCAGCACCCTTGCATGTCCGTCCGCAAAGGTCAGCCTCCCCGAAACCTCCCATAGTCCCTTAGGACCTACAAAAGAGAAAACGGGTTAGAGAAAGCGCCTCACTCGGGATCCACAAGCAAAAATTCCAGGAAACACTTCATAGACAATGCAAATTACAAATAGACTTTACAAGCTCTGAACGATTACACAACAAAGGGTCAAAATGATCCACTACAAACCGAATATCTCTCACAAGTGTCCACATGACAAAACATTTATTTACAAGCCTAAGAAGGCCACCAAACCCAACTAAAATGGGGCTGTTAAGCCTTCAACCGTTCCTCTACATGTTGTGCAAAGCATGAACAAACAGAAAGATACAGACATACACAAGTATTACATCAAACATCCTGTTTAGAATTTTGTCCGTGACAATACGTCACGTACAAATCTTCAACCAAGTTATGTGACTGCTCTACTTGCTAACATTATCAACTTCTTGATCAAGTATAATGGTACAGAAGTAGAAGTTGCTATAATTATCCAGTTCTTTGCCAAGTTTTGTTCCTAGAAGTAGAATATCAAGATTTTATTTTTTTTTTTAACATTGATCGACTAAAATCATTGATATATTTAAAGGTGAAGTCACTATATTATCATAGAAATCAATAACAGAACCTCAGGCCAAAAAACCATCACTGATAAGACTAGCAGCCAAGGCAATAATGGCCAACCATAACAGGCTACATCCATCAACCTAGATGTTTAAGTCAACTTATTTTTATAGTTGGTTCAGGCAGCTGATAGACATAGAGGTTCTAAGTTATGTTGTGAGCAAATATCCAATGAATTGGAGCAAGATTGTTTCAATTTTCAAAAATCTCTAGGCATGACATATAAATCATGAAAAATAAATGTTTTAACTTCTTTTTTGGAAAAAAAAATAATACCAGTTAAAGTTTTGTCTTTATCTTATTCTAACTAAAAGCGGATGGCAAATTACACATCAACTAATACAATGAAAAAGGAAACAAGCATGTTCTGGGGAGAGGCAGAAAAGATGTAGACTGGTGCTAAAATGACTGCTTCGGGCTCATATAGGTCATAATACATAAGTGACAAAGGAACAATTTTAAATGGTCAATTCAACTTAGATTGTAGAATACATGCTCCATAAAGTAACTAAAAAGTAGTAATTTCTGGAAGTGAATGATGTAATGAAATTAAGTTTTAAATTAAAGTGACTTGTATAGGCAAAAGAGACGCAAGTTCCAGACAATACTTTTATGGGGATTGCCATATGATCCATCCTTTCAAAATCTTAGTTCCATTCAATGAAGTGGTTGAAATGTTGTCACTGCAACATGACCTAGGAAGGTGGGCATTAGAAGCCCTCTGTAGAGAGATAAGGGATTGCTAGCTCTATTTTGTATATGTATACAAATTAATCGTAGGATAACTTTTCCAGAGGCAAGACTTCAGATTAGCAAAGGTGCTGCTCTTGTTGATGCTTTTGCAGTCACATATGCAGATAAACTGAAACTCCAATGGTTTTGAATAGCAAATAAAGTTTCTTTTTCTTTTACCTACATGAATTCAATAGAAATATCCATGAGAAGATTACCCAAAACACATAGAGGTCAAGAGTGTAATTGCAATATCAGGTTGACACCAAAGTTTGGACTGTGAACAATTTCTCAAAATGCAAAGCAAGCTAACAATTTCCAGAATCATTAGGTGATGGCAATGTAGGTATGGCTTATCATGCCTATCAGTTATATTTTATAGATGAACAAGGTGACACAATTGTTCATAGTTGAGGTCACTTTCGAAGTATTAAATATTAAAGATCTGTTCAACAAACTAGATGGTAATTAATCATCCCAAATATAATGTGCACTATAAAGAATGAATTTTTCCTACAAAGTCATTTTTGGCAGACGATGCAGAGCAGAACAGCTCCAACATTGACTCAAATGAAACAAGAATTTTCAGGTCCAAATATAAAAGCAAATGCATGCACCTTCGTTTTCAGCTAGAAAATTCCAATTTATAAACAGATCATAAGCTAGTGACTCGGAAAACCATTAAATTCAACATTCAATTTTGTGAAGGAATGAAACAGAGATGGAGTGATAAGCCCTTACAGCCTGGGCAAGATATTAGCTGCATGCTGCACGAGCTCGTACAGATCAGTCACTGAGTAGGAGCCCCGCTTTGTCTCCTCCACGAAGAACATCTCCACCTTTCTCAACTCATCAAAGGCCCTCATATCTTCCCCATCCCCAGCCCACAAATCACGTTAAGAAAAAATGAATAAAACTAAAAAACTTTCAGGTACTTGTGAGGAAGAAAACAATAATCTTGACATACATAGTTCGTAGTACTTGTGCGGCGAAAGACTAGAAGTCCGCAACTCCGAGAGCATCTGCCCGGCGTACCTGAGCGCATCCTTCAGATTATTGGAATCCTACGAAGGAAAAACATCAAAAGGAATCCACACATCAGCATCCGAACAAGAAGACCCGTCGGCTAGGGCCTGTTAGGGTTTGCGATCGAGACCAAGGCACGGTGCATGTAGAATGCGTTGTGCTGGAGGCGGCCCATGCCGTCGGCCAGGCACTTCTCCTCGTCCGCCGCGGCCGCGTCAGGCACCATCGTCGTCGCGCCGCCCAGATCTCTCCGACGATTTCTCCGCCGCTGCGACGATCGCCCTCTCTCTCTCTCTCTCTCTCTCTCTCTCTCTCCTCTTTTCGCCCGCAGGTCGCAAATATTTCGATCTGATGACAACAACACTTTAAACCGGCCGAGCGGTGGGTTGGACCGTCCGTTGGAAGCCGCGTCCGGCGATCGCAGAAGAACGATTCTTTGACACGTGTACAGTTGATGAGATCCGACGGTGGAACTGAGTTGAAGACTGCTCTTACATCGCACCCTTTTCTTTTTGCCTTGCCGTCCGGCACAAATGGTTTCTTTTTTTCCATTAATTCCGTCCCGATATATGATATTACCATCTATACTCCTCAGAAACAGTTATTGCGTTACATCAATGCTTTCTTTGCATGGGTATTGATAAGCTTATCAATAAAAATATATCATATATATATATATACACAATTTAAGCCCTTGCAAAATAATAAGAGCGCGACAATGAACTCGACGCGGTTTTAGATAGAATTATCTTTGCACACTCAAGTCACATATAATACTTTTTTTTATTTTTTAAAATTTTAAAATCACATATCATACTCACAAGTGAATGAATGGCAAAGTAAGTAATACAATAAATTTTGTTCAGGTGCATTGACATCGCTAGTAGGTTGTCTCCATTGTTTATCACCATCGATCTACAGTGAGTTTTGTACCAAACTTGATAATTTCTTTCTATCTTTTTTTAAGTTTTTATAAATATTTTAAGATTCTTAAAGTCAATATCGAAAGAGGACGAAGAATTCTAATAAAAAAGTTTTCATAAAAAATTATGATTTGATTTTTTTATAAATACCTAAACATGAATACTTTGGGTACCCTTAGAATTTTATATATGGTTAATTTTTTAAGAATTTATGTGAGGAATATCTAAAGTGATTATGTATAGTGGGATAACTCAATAGTTATATAATTGATCTCATATGACAAAGAATGTGATTTTCTTTGTATAGTTATCGAATTATATTATATCTTATATATTATATTTTATGATGATTTTTTATATATTATTTTATTTATTGATCTCTATAATTTTTTTATTTTAATTTATTTTTCTCCCGTCCCAACACTCACCAAAACTCCCCCTCTCGAGTCTAGGTTACCAGTAAATATTTACATTCCGTAGCCTATGCTTTTACCATGGCCACCCTCGTTACTTTCATTTCCTTCCCACACACCACCCTTGACCTGATCCAACCCACGATCCCACTCTAGTTGCTATAATTAATGCACTCTCCAATGACAGCATTTGTCTTATATAACCTTTAGCAAAAACTATTTAGCTATCTTACTAATAATAGAGGACGATCTGTTTGAACTGTGAATCTCGTTGGAGATATATTTTTGGAGTATCCACTATTAACAACATTGAAGATCTATTTAATAAGAATATGTTTCATCGTATGAGATTCGGGTTTGACAATTCAATGATATAATATCACGAAAAAGAAAGTATAATTTTTTTTAAAAAAAATCACTATCGCTTGTGATTAAGTGCTTATAATAAGGAGGTAAGCAATAACGAGAATTAAAAGACTCAAATAAAAATGTTAAAATACATATTGTCTTTGGTCAACATCTTAGTGTTCTCTATAGAAGGAAGTTACTATCAATTTCGGTCTTCTCATGTCTCTTATTGTTGGAACATTTTCCTCGGGTTTAGATAGTGAGCAATAGACTTTGGGGCTTTTTTTGAGCAACTAAACAAAGGACTTCGCCTACTCGAGGTAAAAGGAGCTGTGGTAGGAAGAATTTGACAACACCTTGTGTAACTCCTCTTTGGCTCTCGGCAAGGTTAGAACTCTGGCTTTGGTTGTTGGAACTTTTTCTTTTATCTTTTAAGGGCTCCTTTTATATCTAAGATAGGATAGCAATTATGAAGCATTTAAGGCTCTCCTTTTAGGGTTAGCGTATGAACCTTTTCCTACTCCATCAAGTAAGAGTTGTGTAGCCCTTAGCTTTGTGATTACCCTAATCAACTTAAGGGCTACCCTAATCCTAGTTTTACTAGGATTGAGGTTGAGTTGAGTAGATTTGAATCTAGGCTTGGTCTTAAGTTCTTGGCTTGAGTTCGGCCAAGTTGTGAGGCTTTCAAGGCTCAATAGAGGGTTGATGAGCTTGATCGTGATCATGGCTCCTCTAATTATGCAATTTGCATCCTATTGAATCTCACTTCAAAGTTGAAAAAATGCTGCTATAGTAGCTTCTTCGGAGAACTATCTTATCATACTTAGTCTTTGCCCTTTGCATCTGATTCAGAAAACAACTTTGATGCCTCGTTAAGTAGTAGTAGATTTCCTCTCAATGATAGTGTCTTCTTCAAGGAGCTTTTCTTGGCTGGTTTATCACAAATGGTCATCGAATACTCGTAACATCTTTGATCAATGAATCATTCATCACTTTTGCATGCTTGTACATTGACAATATGTTTTACCTTGGTTTTATATATTTTTGCTTTAAAAAAATAAGCAATGATAGTTTGCAGTGCTGTAGTGCGATTGCTCACCCTCCCTACCAAGTAAAACTGTCCCAAAATAGCTCTGTTTTTGTATGTCATGGCCTGTTTTCTATATACCACAATCACACGAAAAATGCCAACCATCTCAATACCCGGAAACTCTTTGAGTGGCACTAGGGGGGATAGAGATTCGTGGTACTATTGGGAGTTGATCGGTAAACATAAGTTCATATCGACACATGGTGAGCAATCATTCGTGGACTTACGATTATTTCTTTTGTCTTTTTAAATCTTTGCTTTCTCTTTCCTCTCTTTTCTCTCCTACACTCAAAGTGCTTATTGAATTTCCTGTAAAGCTTTTCTCTTTGCGAGATGTCGGGACTTATCCGTTGCTTATTTTTAAACTAATCAACTTTCTCCTTTTACATATCCTACAGGACCTAAGCGAGGTTGCAAATTAGTTGACCCTTTGTGGATATATATTACAATGGTGCATCATGACTTAGGCAATCCCAGATAAGTTCAAAAAGTTAGTGCAATGGTGTATCACAACTTATGTAACTCCAGCTAAGTTTGTGACTTTGCCGCAAAGGTGCCTCACGACTTAAGCAATTTTAGCTAAGTCCGTGATAGGTTACAAAGTCTTTAATTAATAGCAACATCTCATTCGGCTCATTGTCTAGCATCGAAGGCTCAATATTTATAATTGAGTATATCTCCATGTAAGGTGGCAACTCAAGTTGGCATGTATTATCTCCAATCTGCTTCAAGATATTAAATGATCCATATAGGAATAACTATAGCTTCTTTCCTCCTTTCGGCTATGCTTTCCCAAGGTGTAGCTAAGTAATGTCTCCTTTATAGAATCATCCTTTGACATAAAGTCAATCATGTTGTTCTTTATATTTTTGTTGGCTTTGTTGAAGTTACCTCCCAACTTCTTTATGCACCTTGTAGATATTCTCTAGAAATTTGTAGGCTTATTGTGTTCCATTATTTTTATTATAGGGAGATGACTCTAAATCGATCATAAACTATAAATCAAAATATCTTTGGGTTACATAACCTAAGCATACCTTAAACGGTGATTTGTTAGTGAAACTATACACTACCCAATTGAAAGTAAATTGAAGGTACGATAGACTTCCATTCTATGTCTTTAGATGTTAAGAGTTATATCTTCGAAAGAGATGAACTATAGTATGGTTCAATGCTACAATTTGGTCATCAATTTACAAATGGAAGGTTGTGCTCTTTTTCAATTTAGTGTCTATCATAGTCACAGAGAACTTTGAAAGATGCTCAAGAAACACCCATCATGGTCGGACAATGGAACTCAAAAGTCCAAAGTGTGGCCACACATGTAAAATAACAATTAAGCTACTCCTTCGATGATTATCTTTTCACAAGGCATGAGTATCACTTATTTGAGAACCTATTGACCCCTATAAAGAGGTAGTTGTGTCCCTATCTTGTCATAGATATGAGCAATAGAGTGTACAATTTTAATTTTCAATCGATCAAATTTGAAGTGCTACAAAGGACATGCCCCTAGACAAACCAAGCTATATCTTATTGCTTCAATGCCAATAAACATGTAGTTGTAGGTTTATCAAAGTCTTATTCACACCAAAGTGTCTTATGACTATTCATGGGATCGCCTTCTTTCGGTACACAAAGTTAAATACCTTTATAGAACGATCCTTCTTAAAGTATGAATTTCAAATCAAGTCTTACTTTGACCTTCTCTATGATGTCTTTGAATTATGGGTCTCCCATGTACATATTTATATAATCTTCTTAAAAACTAGTTATAACCTACACAAATAAACAATGACTCATAATTAGGGGGGATAACATGTCATGTAGCTTATTTTAAACTCTCTTTTTATACTTAGTTACTAAGTTAAATTGCTACAATTTAGGTTGCATTGGAAGGTATTAAAATAGTCAATAGTTGGTATAGATAATCATCTCATTCCTTAGGAGATATATATGTCAATGTTTGATTGCTTAATGTAACGTAAGTAATTCTTCGTTATATATCAAATAATTCTTCTAAGATCTTTGAAATGTCTTGGAGCGATATGCCATGGGACAATTATCTTACATTAAAATTGCTAGTCATAGGTGCCCTACAAGTCAATCACGTGAGTGATGACATGTGTGACATAATACGCACTTTTTTTACTTATTATTTATTTGCAATGAAAATTGGATCATGATGAGATCATGATAATAAAATTGATTCGTCTTTAAACATATATCCTAAATAATCTCGGTCATAGGTCACTTGAGAGAGACATCGAGATGACTAGATAGACTGGTGTGATGTATATTCATCCATATGATGGAGGCGATTGATCTTATAGCTACTTATGTGGGGACATTAGGGATACAATGCAGGTGCTCATTGGAGAATGAGTTCAATAATTGATCCGCTCACAGAATGCTAGATGGTTGATGATATATCATTGCTAGATAACGATTCTGTCATCCTAGTGGTATATATGATTCTTAAACTTGAGATACCAAGGATGTCCTGTATGAGTATTCCATTCTTTAATATTGGACTTATAGG